CCCGGGGGAGTCGGGGGGGAGAGGAGGGGGGAGAGTGAATAAAAACAAGTGGGAAAATGGGCAAAAACAACAAAAAAACAAAAAAACAAACTCCAAAGTTGTTTGATCAGGTTCTACAGTTTCCTCACAGGATTAGAGTTAACTGTTCACTCTGAACAGACCACAGGTGTGAATGTTGGTGTGAATGTTGGTGTGAATGTTGGTGTGAATGTTGGTGTGAATGTTGGTGCCCGGTCATAGACTTACAGACCGTCTGGGGTGCAGCCCACGTTGTGTTGACCTCTGAGGACCAGCTCCAGCTCCTGCTCCTGCTGTGGCCCTGAAGACCAAGAAATGAATGAATGAATGAATGTGAGCTGCAGCAGGAAATGATGTTTACAGGCAGAAAATCACAAATTATATAAAATTTATTTATTTATTTATTTATTTTTAAATTTCATTTTTATGTCAGGCAATTTATTTCATGCACCCTGGAAACATGCGGTTTTATTTATTTATTTTTTCGTATCATTATAGGTATGGTGATGTTCTTATAAAAGACTTTTTAAAGTGTAACAAACACAGAGTCGTCTGTAGCCGAGGTTTGATTCCAGCAGACAAAAACACTGCACTGAGATTAGAAATGACTGATGGAGAGTTCGGCCTCACCTTCAACAGTCTCTTCAGGATTTCGCCCATGCAGGGACACAACAGTTCCAGGGACACAACAGTTCCTGGGACACAACAGTTCCGGGGACACAACAGTTCCAGGGACACAACAGTTCCAGGGACACAACAGTTCCTGGGACACAACAGTTCCAGGGACACGTGGGTGAGGAGAGATTAGACGGTGCCTCGGTGTCTGATCTGCCTGTCTGTCTGTCTGTCTGTCTCTGTCCTTCAACATGTAATTACTCCCATCTATTGAAGTCTCGTTTCTCATTGACCTCTTTCCAATTTTACCTCTTCTCTGTTTGTCTTTTCCCTCTCTCTTTCTGTCTCTCATCCCCACTCTGTTTCTACCCCCCCCCCCCCCCCCCTGTCTCTGTATTCACCTCAGGTCTCCTCCGAGTGTTTAACATCTACACAGACCTTCTGCGGGGGGCAAGTGTTCGATGCCCCCGTGGAAAGGTGTTGATCTGAAACACTGGGAGGCAACAAGGACACTTTGGAGATAAGGAACCTCGGAGAGAGAGAGAGAGAGAGAGAGAGAGAGAGACTGTGTTCGAAACACGACAACACGCACAGGTTCAGTGCTGACGTCACAACCCTTTCAGTATTCCCGAGTCTGAAGTGTCAGTGTGGGGCGGGGTCTCAAACTCAGATGATAATATTAGGCCAATAATAATAATAATAATAAAAACCCGGATAATTCAATGATTTTTTTTTTATCTGTGTTAAAAATTATTGTCTATTTTGAAATTCAATGGTCAAAAATCGAAACATCGAGGTTCACGGTTCACGGCTAACTGTACGTTAGCTAAAATCATACAACAAGATCGCATCCATCATTAATTCATGGAAAAGTTGAGATAATAATGCGGCTCTTTTAACATTGTCCACAAGAGGGTGCTGTTGCTCTGCTCTAAGTGTAGCCAGGCCCGGTTATAAATCTCTGACATCATCATTTATAGTTTGTGATTTAAAAAAAGAGACTTTCTCGGATTACAGAAGTCGTATTTTGTTTTATGTTTATAAAAAGACCCTCAATGTTGATGGTTTGTAACTGTAACTGTAACTTATTTGTTAGGATCAGTATCCAGTGTTAGTCGTCACTTAGAAGACTTAGAAGTCCTAAAGTCCTAAGTACGCAGTACGAAGTATCGAAGTCCTAAGGCTGCGCTTTTTTGCGCAGGCAGGTTTGGAGTTGGAGGGGGATCATTAATGAGCCCCCCCCCATCTCCTTAATGAGCCACTAACTTACACCTCCCAAACATATGTTAATGCTGCATGCATTCCACTCACTCACCTCCCAAACATATGT